TAAAAAAAAAAATTGAAGTCTGTCAGGATGAAGACATTGGTCAACTGACTAGATGAGTGCTGCTGTTTGCATGGGTGAGATTGAGGGGTCAAATGAGTGTCTTGAGACTTAAGGTACCCATATCAACCTCAAAAACCCACCTTACAAACTCAGTCCAGTTTGGCAAGGGAAACTCAGAAAGTTTAAGAAGGGCGATGTGGAAGGTTAAGGAACCTACATTGTCCTGTAATCCCTCCAGAATAGAAAGATATACACATTTCTGCCCCATATTACTCTCAGGGGCTCTGTGGGCTGCAAATGAGATGCTGGTAGGCTCCATTAAGCTTATGGGTCCATCTCTTACCTGACATTAGTTAGACATTCTGTAATAGCTTCTTAATTGGATTACTGCTATACATTATATGTGGAGCTACTCTTGAAGACAGTTCAGAATGCACAGTAACTGACCGGGACTGTTGAATAAGATCATATGACGCCAGTGCCTTGACAGTTACACCTACTTTCCAGACTCTTTGTTGGACCTAATTTAAAGCTGAAGTTGACCAGTCCTGAGCATCTTAAGGTCACAGTATTCCAAGAAATGCCTCCTAAGATGAATATAACTTCACTCCATCTCTTTGGAATTAGATTAAGACATTACTTTTCTCCTGGTCATTACCAAAAGTGGACAGATTAAGTGTTCACATTATGCTGGAATGGTGGATCAATTTGTTACATGTATTCTTGTGCTATGGGAAATTTGTTTAATATTTTATGCTTTCTTTTCAAACACCAACCAATCTCAAGCCATGTGTGATATACAGTCAAAAGCCAATGAAAGGCTAGAACTCAGTCTATGATCTGCATGCAGAAAGGATACTCTTGAAGAAAGAAAGTTCCTGGTGGTAATATGGACACATCCATGCACTACAGAAGAGATTTGCCATTGCTATCTTCTAGAATATTTGTTTGAATACCCCATCTAGGCTACAACCCTGGTGGTCCTCTATTTGAGTTGCTAACCAGGCCTGACTCTGCTTAGGTTTTGAGCCCTGATAAGGTTGTCCAGGTGCCACCAACTGCTACAGAAGATCTTAATTCAATTACTGGAATCTTCAGAAATAGGATCAGTTGACAGATTATGTGAAAGCCAATTCATGTGTAAGCGGTTAAGCTATTAGACTAGCATGTTGAAAAACTCACTTAAAATAATACCAAAACTGGAGAGAATCCAATGCTTGAAGAGCAGGTGGCAGCTGTGGCCAAGAGGGCACAGCTTCACCTGGTGCACCACTTGCACCCTTTCCTGGATCAGTCAGCCCCCCAGTCACTCACACCCTTATCATCCAATAGTTCAACTACTGCAACATGATTTACACGGGGCTGCCCTTGAAGACTACTTGGAAATTTGAACTGGTCCAGAATGCAGTGGTGCAAACAGTGATGGGCTTGCCTTCCATGCCCATGTGACACCTCTGCTTCATGAGCTGGACTGGTTGCAGTGCACTTCCAGATACTGTTCAAGGTGGTGGCTATTACCTATAGAGTGCTACATTGCATAGGGCCTGGTTATGTGAAGGACCACTTGTACCTCTGTTTCTGCCCATCCAGTACAATTTGGCAGTGTGGGTGCACTCCAGGTCCCTTCAATTGAACAGTGTAATCTTTCAGGATCTAGGAAGTGCACATTCTCCATAGCAGTGCCTGCCCCTTGGAATATGTTACTCCAAGATCAGTATGTTTTTCAAGGAAGGCCTTGAAAACCTGGTTATTCTCCAGACCTTGGGGTGGGGTGGGGTGGGGTGGGTGCGGTAGGCATGACCCTCCCCCACTTGTGAAGTTCTATGTTTTGATATGTTGTTTGGATTGCCATCCTGCAATTACTTTGTAGACATTTTTGAAATTTGTTTCCGTGTGTTTTATTGTATCTTATGTTGTTCTTTATTTTTGTGCACCACCCAGAGTCGGCTAGGGTTGGGTGGCATCAAAATCGAACGAATGAATAAATAAATACACTCTATTAATTTTAAAGGAAGCAGACATTGGTCTTTTGCACCCAAATGAGCTTAGAGTAAAGGCCCCAAAATTACATACGTCTTATACAGAATGTTGAACAAAAACAGTGTGAG